TAATAGCCTGTTTACCTCATCTTCTCATCAATAAATACATTCCCTCTAGATTGTGATGTTACATGTCTTCACTTGGGAGATCTGTTCACAGTGAATCCACTAATTAGAAGTTTCAGTTCAGCTTATACTGACTTTGACTTGCCTTTGGCTTTAGTTCACTTGGTTTTGTAATCCTTGTGCACATCACATTAAAATATTTAACATATTAATCTATGTATCTGACAAGAATGACATTCAGACTACAGTCCTGAGAAAAATACGAGCAATAAGCACACTCAGCCATACAGGGTTTTTTTTCCTACTTACTAGTTATTTAGGTTGAAAAGCAGCATATAAACTGGATTAAGACTAGCTGGAAGAGCAAGAACATGCTAGCATGCCTCATGCTCCATTTTCAGTTTGGCTTCTGCTGTGTTTTTTGCGTCACGTCTAAAATTTTCATAATGCTGCAAAGAACGGAAGGCTGTTTTTTTAAGATGTCCATGTGGCAAGTGATTTTTATCCTTGTAAAAACAAGCTTAAGAGCTTGGTATCCTCCCGAGAAGTGTGTTAAATAAGATGGGTAATACTTCCCAGGGGAGCTCTGAGGAGAGCTGCACTGGCATGGCACGACCAGGCAGAGATAAGAGTCCCAAGCTGCAGAGGAAGAAGGCAACAAGGGTCTGGGAGGAAGGGAAGGAGGTGAGAAGGCAAAAGGCACCTCAAGGGAAGGGTAGGGAACTAGCAGCAGGAGTCACAGGCCACGTCCAGTCAAGTGTTGCCGAGGGTCTTCAGCAAGATCGGACTATAAAAAGGTGATGAACCGCAGCTCTGTACTTGTAACTGCTGTAAGATCCTGAAAAGCAACGAACTCCCACATATCCTAGAAAGAATTTCAGGTGATACTGAAAGACTAGACCTGATTATTAACTGTAACTTCATAGTGTAACTGTTTAAGTTAAAGAGGTCAAAACCGCTAGAAGAAAAATGGATAGGAAACCAGCTCCTTTCTGCTTTACTGCCCACTACCTTTTCATTTTGGGGAAGTTTCACATAAATGCCTATAGACTGCCCTGTTTGTCTGGCATGCCACCTCCTCAGCGATGCCTACAAGAAGCAGGTGCCAAATACTAGATTGCTGTACAGAGCATGCTTAGACTCAGCCGCAAGTGAGGTGATATAAAGGTGAAATTTAAAAACATCAATAAAAAGATTAAATAAATTAAAGGAATTAAAAAAACCCCACACCAAAATCAAAAAAGCTATAATGCAACAATAACATGTAAAGACCCCAGCAGAGATCTGGAAATAACCTGTGGCTGTTTAACTGAAAACAGCTTTTTAGTTCGTCTCCATCTTACAAAGACTGCCATCAACAGCATCCAGCTTGGAAAACAAGCCCTGGGCACAGCCAGCAGCCTGTTCCTGTCTGTAAATGGGAAGTAGAGAGGAAGACTGCTGAGGAAGCCTCCTTCAGCGGGATTTTTCAGCTACAGAAGGAAGTGAGGAGACAGGCCATCAGAGAGGCCGGGAAGACCACCAGTGATGTTTGTAACCACAGAGAACGACTACTCACAGCTCTCCCTTCTCAAGTACTGGCAAATGGGGAGCGACTCAGGCACTAAGCAGAGCTACCCCATGATGGTCTAGAATATCCTGCCCGGGCTCCTCATCTGGAGGAGAGTGGGTCTCAAGTCCAGTCTCATATCAGCGAAGGTTTTGTCTTCCCCAGCAAAACTGCCATGCAGTAGAATTAAAAGATTTATGATGAAGTGGTGGGTTTTTTTCACAATAATATAATTAAGTAATATAAAAATATATACTTTAGTTGTTGTGATTCTTTTTTCACTTTCTACCTCCCTCATCAGCATGTCTGCATGGCCCATGCAGTGGAACACAACTATGGGACAGCTGCCAGTAAAACCATGATCTTGTCCCACTCTGACAAGATGTAATCTGGTTTCAGCCAAGGCAATGGAGTCTGTCCACCGAGCATCCAACAACAGCACCTCATCAAGATGCTGTTAGAATCACTGATTTCTAAGGTTTGGTTCAATTAGGTTTTAAGACAGCAACACGTATATTCACCTTTAATGAACCAGACTTATAAAGCACAGCTAAATAAGATACTACTGTATTCAATGGCAATAATTGGTTTGACATGTATTTTTATATAGTCACCCCGAGAAGACATATTGGACATGTTGTTATATTCTTAGATCATAAACTCAGAGAAGCGAGTGTTAAAACATGAAGGAGATAATGGCTCCAAGCCTGGCCAGGAAAGACTCTGACAGGAGGTGACTCATCTGCCCAGTGACTGCGCAAAGTACTCGACAGCGCTAGCAGAGGAGGAAATTCCTCCAGAGGTTAGCCTGGCAGGCCGTCACTGCCATAGTGAATTAAACCTCCCCACCACTGGGCTGTTGCAGCACTCAGAAAACATTAAAACATATGATTGTTTGGGGAGGAAGTTGGTTTATAAAGGGAAAGGAGTTAGCAATGTTCCCTGCAGAGGCACTGACGAGTTCCGGAGCAATGGCGATGGTGAGGGAGTAAACCAGCGGCAGGTATCATCTTATTGCTGTGGCCTTCTCATCTTGAATGTCCTGAATCCATGCTGTGAATTAGAAGTGACACCACAACAGCAGTATTTCAACTGGCCTGGTAAAGATAGATCTCAGCAGCATCTGCTCTTTCAGATTTATTCTTCGGTTACTTAGCCATCACACTTGGGTGATTAGGACCTCTTTGCAGACAGGTTGGGAAAACAGTGCTTTTTTTTCTGCTTATATAGAACAGAGAGGCCTTTCTGCAATCCAAACAGAATGTCCCTGCATCTCCTCTTTTTTGCTTCTACCTGGGAAACAGAGCTACCCAAGTGGCGTTCCTCAATTCCTTTTGGCTTTCGTTCCACTTCTCATGTTATACAAACAGGAGAAGCAGATCACCCAGATCTTAAAAGTCTCTTGTCAATAAAGGAGTGTAGTGTTCCACTTCATAAAGTAAAACACTGACTAATTCCGAGGAATCTGAAGAGACCTTCTATTTACCAATACACTAACATATTATCCCTCTAAAATTATTAACCATTAAAGCACTACAAATAATGACTGAATGCACCCTGCCTAAATTCTGAAAACCTATCTAAGTGGTAGATAGCAATCCAGCTGTGCTCCTTCCAGGACAATATGCCTTCATTGATGCGGAAAAGTCTCCTGGGCATTATCAAATTTGTCCTGATGTGCTCAAAGGTCATTGCAATCTAGTAAAGACAGGTGCTAAAATGCAGGTCTCAGGTTCTCAGATGTCCTCAGCAAGAAGAGCGG